AAAAAAAAAAAAAGAAAAGAAGAACGCCCACTGAGCAAAAACCACAAAAAGAAAAAACGACTCCTAGCAGATTACACCTAGAACCCTCTTGGCCCATCAAGCTCGCAATAGAGATATGACATTATAATCATCAGTCTGGGGGAGAAAACAAAATGAAGTCTAATTAGCACTGGTAATGGAGAATTACTCTACTCCTTTAGCTTCACCGTCCTCCAAAGAACAACAACGCCCGCATTTCATGAAAGCTCTTGCATATGCACTGCTCCGAATCTACCCATAGCCGCCCCCATCTCAGCATATTCCATCCAGGCAGCTTGTGCTTGTTGGACCACTTGGAGCTCCGAGTTGTGAATTTTTTGAAATAGCCATGAGTTCCGGGTTTTCCAAAGCCACCACATAATGTAGGTGGATAAGGAATTCCTATCTTCCCATGACTCGGCCCCTTTCATAACATATAAAGTTTCCCACCAAAGTTGAAAATTAACTTTTTCATCACTTAAGAGATCCCAGTTTAAGCCAGCAATTTTCCAGACCCTTTTAGCTCTGATGCAAAGGAATAGAATGTGCTCCAGTATCTCCTCACCCTCCCCGCAGCAATCACAAATAATATCGACACAGAGTTTTTTTGATTGCAGTCTCTCCTTACTACTCAGAAACCCGTGCCAGCATCTCCACACAAAGTTGTTAATTTTATTTTGGACAGGGAGTTTCCAGGTAGTATTCCATACCTTTTGCCTTCTAACTCTGCTCATGCTTGATTCAACTGGTGTCTCTGAAAGATGGTGTGCCTGCTGTTTGCTAAGAAGAATTGTGTTGTAAGCATCCTTTACAGTGAACAGGCCCTTTGGGTTTTGATGCCACACTAATTTGTCTGGGAGCCCCTCCTTGCTAATTTGGATTTTGAGAATGTTGCAGGCTTCTGATGGCAAAAAGGTTTGAAGAATGAGGTCTTCATCCCACTGTGTTCCTTCTTTATTCATTAAATCTGAGACATGAACAAGATTTGACCTGTCAGCAACAAAACAACATTTTGGCTTAAAGTCACTAGCTTCAGGGACCCATGGTGAGTTCCATATGGAGATAGCCCTCCCATTGCCCACTTTATATCTTAAGCCAAGCTTTAAAAATTTTCTAACTCCCAGCCAAGATTTCCATAGCCAGGAGTCTGAACTTTTCAAATTGACATAAAAAATATTCTGGTTGTGGAAATATCTTCCTTTAATAAGCTGACTCATGAGGAGGTTGGGCTGAGTTAAAACCCTCCATAGTTGCTTAACTATGAGGGCTTCATTGAAAGCAACCAGATTCTTGAAACCAAGTCCTCCATTCTCTTTAGGTTGTGATAAAGTTTCCCACTTAGCCCAATGGATCTTGTTCTGCCCCTCCTCATTTTGTCCCCACCAAAAACAAGCTACAACTTTACAAATATCAGTACAAATGCCAATAGGAATCTTAAAACAAGACATAACATAAATGGGGAGAGCATGAAGGACTGTTTTGATCAAAATTTCCTTCCCTGCTTCACTCAAAAATTTATTCTTCCAATTTTTAATTCTAGATAGAACACAATCAGAAACAAATTTGAAAGTATTTTTTTTTTTTTTTTGAGATTCCAATTCCCAGGGGAAGGCCTAAGTATCTAGAGGAGTTAACCACAGAAATGCCCCTTAGAATCTGACAAATCTCTGATTTTAGGGAAACAAGAGTATTCTTAGAGAACATAATGCTGGACTTATTAATATTCACCTGCTGACCAGAGGCTGCACAAAATTTATTAAGGATGTTAACAAAAGCATTGATTTGCTGAGCTGAAGCTTTACTAAAAATAATAAAATCATCAGCAAAAAAGAGGTGAGTAATAGTAGGGGCATGCTTGCTGATTTTTAAACCTTGGAAAGAGGAAGAAATACATGCTTGATGAATAAGATTAGAAATAACTTCAGACAAGATAATAAACAAATAAGGGGATAGAGGATCCCCTTGTCTAAGCCCCCTAGTAGGCTGGAAAAAACCCTTAGGCTGCCCTTCCAAATTAAAAGAAAAAGAGGATGAGGATATACAAGCCCATATACATCTAAGAAATTTAGGACAGAAACCCATAGCAACACAGACCCTAATGAGAAAGGCCCATTCAACACGATCAAAAGCTTTGGCCATATCTAACTTGAAAGCCAAAAAACAATTTTTACCTTTTTTTTACTGTTCAGGTAATGGACACATTCATTAGCAATAATGACATTATCGATAATTTTCCTACCCGGGACAAAAGCAGATTGGGCAGGAGAAATGCAAAAGGGTAAAACATGCTTAAGCCTATTAGCTAGAATTTTAGAGATAAGCCTATACAAAACTGGGCAGAGACTAATAGGTCTATAATCATTAACAGTTTGAGGGGATTTAGTTTTGGGAATGAGAGTAATTAAAGTGTGGTTTGTAGCCTTAGGGATTTTCCCAGACTTGAAAAAATTTGAAATTGTAAGACACAGATCCGTTTTAATCAAAGACCAAGAGGATTGAAAAAATTTGGGGGTAAAACCATCCATACCTGGAGCTTTTGTTGGATCCATGTCCCAAAGTGCTGCTTTGATCTCCAATTCGTCCACCTCTCTAGTGAGTTCAGTGTTCATGCTCTCATTAATTGATTTGGGGAGGCCCTGTAAACATGAATCATCCTGAACTGGGGAGTCTGATTGATACAGGTTCTGAAAATGCTGCAGCAGTTCCTCAAGAATTTCCTTCTCTCCATTGCACTTAGTACCATCTGCTCTAACAAGATTAGTCAAGCTATTTCTGTGCCTTCTCTGCCTAACACATGCTTGGAAAAATTTACTGTTTTTGTCTCCCCCTTTTAACCACTGAATTCTGGATTTCTGTCTCCAGTATGCTTCCTCATCAGAGTATGCCTTGTTGAGGGCTTTCTTGCAGTCATACCATTCTAACCAATCTCTTTCTCCTCCCTCTTGCCCTAACTTACTCAGCTTCTCATTACAAATATCAATCATCACTGCAGAATTAGATTTATGAAGAGCAGTCCAACCTAACAAAGCTAACTTAACCTTTCTCAGCTTTTGTTGAAAGCTATATAATTTGGGCCCCTGCACACTTGAACTCCAAGCATCTTCCACACATTTATCATAACCTGGGAGAGCAGGCCATCTACTGTCAAAGTGAAACCTGTGACCAGGCTTCTTAAAAGAGCCATCAGAGTCAAACAACAACATATAGTGGTCAAAGGATGACATAAAAACATGCTTTCACCAGAGAGTTGGGGAAAAGGCAAAGCTAGTCAGGTGACAAAAAAACTCTATCCAATTTTGCTTCCACAAATTCCCCCCCACTTCTATTGTTAGCCCAAGTGAATGGGTGTCCAATAGAATTACACTCAACCATACACATATCATCAACAAATTTCCTAAAATCTTTAAAGTTATGGTCACCCCTGATTACCCCCCCATTTTTCTCAGAATTGGACAAAATGGCATTGAAATCCCCTCCAATAAACCAATGACCCCCACTGCAATTTGTGCCTAATAATAATAGACCACTGGTGCATTCTGTCTATGGGATCAGTGCTAGAGTACAAAAAAAAGCCCATATTTTAATATTATTAGCAGAATCAGAAAAGCAAACTTCAAGGCAAAAAGGGCTACTAATGATATCAATAATATTAACAGAAGGGG